CCACCTCCCCACCGATAGAAACCGGTAATACCAAAACCGATGTGATGATTCGTAATATCAGGGACAATCTAATGGAAGTAGGATAATTTGGTCAGCTCAGTCATTCGGAAACAGGAACCAAGCTTTAATTTCCACAAAGTTATAATTCTCCTATCTTCAACACTCTAACTTACTTTGGTCACTCCTTCCCCTTGTAATATTCACTTGCATGTTCCATAACAGACAACATATTCAAGGTTAAAATTAAGAGTATAATTAAGCACCGGTAAGCGAACAGAAATGTTTAAAGCACCGATTGCAAAACTGGAGCTCTATCATTCAATACCGAAGCAGCGTAGTTTGCGAAGTCCGAAGTTGCTAGTGCAAGCGGTAGCACAATGAAGTAATGAAATAGCAATTATGAAGTCAGTGAACCCCACTTTGAGTCCCGGGCGCATACTAACGTCAGAAAGTGGCTGTCCGAACAACTAACGTTGGTAAATTCTTGTCCCGTTAAATACTTCAGCTCAGTCACCGGCCTTATTCTGTGAGTCGTATAATGTGGAAGTAGCGTAGATATGCAGCTGTTCACGATTTCTTGTGCAACTTCGGACTCCTGTCTCTTCTCTTTCTCTTCGGGCTTCGGACTCTCTTCGGACTTCTCTTTACCCTGACTCCTTCAGCACAGTGATCCAGAGAACTTCGAAACATCGCCAGGCATATCGCGAAACCTTCACGATGTGGTGCTCTTTCTGAAATGCATGACGGATGAATACACTTACATGAAATACACATGCAATGGCAAAAGCATATCAAAGGAGAAATTGCAATCTCTGAACTAGGGATAACTTGTCACAGCTGATGATTCCCGCGAGTATTGCATTCCTGTACGTACTTCTGATGTGTGCTGGTAAATCGTGAACCTCCAAGAAAATTGGCCACAGCTTTGTTCTTAAAAATTCTGTTTGAAGTGACGAGATGAAATTGAACAGTTAAACGCGGGAATACATGTGAAACTGAACTTATCTCGTATGTGACGTGCCAAATCCATCGGTATTGAGAATCAGTCGAATGTGCACGACACGATTCCAGATATGCGCTTCGGCGCCTAAGCCATTTGCGTAGGACGGGAAAGCATTGCGGTCAGAAGAATAATGATTCGGATATACACTTGCCAGTTGCCTACCATTAGCCTGCGTCTGAAAGGCAAGTGCAATTACTGCAAGAACCACAGTAAGCAGGGCATAGATTTAACTCCGCAATTGTTAAACCGACTTGCAGTATCTCCCCAAGTTTGTATTCCACGACACGCTTCAGTTGTTTCACAAAATCCACAGCTGCTATAGTACATGGAGCGTTAGCGCGTTCGAGTCTAGAATTAGACGTGCTCGACATCAAGCAGTTCATTAGAAAGAAAACTGCTGTTGCTGCAACTATAAACTACTATGGCTACTAGTGTTCAGTTTTCCATAATCAAATCCTGAAGCACGCCCATTCAGGCGACAACCGCTGCTCGTGCATGTCACTAATGTGTTGAGCAAACTGCCATGGCAAGAAGGGCATAATGAATGACACTGGAAGTTCTGCTCGCGTACTGTTTCGTCCATGTACTTTTTAACAGCTGCTACGCCGTCATCGCTTTAATGAGGATTGCGTGTTGCTTGCTTTCACGTGAAGATGCATCCCTCAGTACAAAGTGCAGTGCCGTGAGTAACGTCACGTCATCCAAACAACACAGTATGTAGGACTTTGAAGGTCCACAGAAGCTTACATTCCCGACAAAGCCATTTCACATGTGCCTTTTCTCGATTCGCTCCCATTTCCTTCGCGCACGACGCTTGAATCACGAGCAGAACTTGTTCCAGTTGTCGAATGCAATTCCTCCAGTTGCTGAGTTCTCTGACGAGAACTCCATTCGGAAGATGGCCCCACATTGTGCTACTGGGCACATATTCTGAATGATTGTGTGTCCTCATTTTGCTGATCAGCAATCCCGCTTCGCAGTGGTCCCGTGATGAGATACCTTCGACGCGCGGCCAGTTCTTCATCAGTCAGTGACCGTTTACGAACCCTCATACGCGCGTGACGGGACCTCCCCATTTGCTTCGACACAGTACGTCTTGGAAAAGAAATAAACTCCTGACTCAGTTGGTGTGTGCTAGAGACCAACTAGTTTAACTAGATCCAGTCACACTCCTCACCTCGCCACCCATCTTTCCTCCCTCCCCCACCCTTCCGTCCCACTATACCCCATCCCACCCCC